TTTTTTTTTGGTGTAATTTGAAAGAACATTTGACTTGAGAAGGAGTGATGTGTTGTTTTTCAGGGTTGTACCCCTTTCATAGGCTTCGAGGGTACCTACCGTCTTCACCCAAATGGAACGCCCGGCCATTATATCTGTATCTGGACAGAAAATTGCATCGAATACGGCTATATAATGACCGGGCATTCTATTCGGGTGAAGACGGTAGGGATGGTACAAGAGTGTTGATGGTCTATATTAGGCAGAAGTAGGGTTGGATGATGAGTGGGTTTTTAACTTTTTGAAGTTTTTTGTTGTCGAATTTGGGACGTTTTGAATGAACAACTACCGATTACATAATAGTGGGCTTTTCGCCTTTGTTGAGACGGGGTCAGTACGAAACGATAGATACCTTTGTTTGTATGTAGTGTCGTATTATTATAATGGATCCGGGCAAAGGCAAGAGCTGTGGCCTTTGGCCTACACAGAGGCAAGGGCGAATGAGACAAACTCAATTTGTAGTAGAAGATCAAGTCCGGTCTGCCTTGAAAAAGGTCGCAAGTAGCTAAAAGCAAAACCAAATTTAGCAAATAAGATGGCTCTTGAGGCCGAGGTCGCCGGTTCGAGTCTGTGCTTGCACGGAGGAGGGCTGAGGCCCAGAGGTACTGATCCAATGACACATGACATGACCTGAACAAGCGAAATTCCTCGGCGAAGGGGTATTTTCTTCAGCATCAAAGACAAAATCTGGCTATGTGCTGGAGCCGCCGATCGAGTGACGCAAGCAACGTAATGATAATGAATGCGTCGGTGCGGACAATCAGCAGGGAAGTCTATAACCTCAGGACCATCCTCCTTGATTGCGCACGGACTCGAACCGGCATCCTTGGACGTAAAAGCCAAGCATCATAATCACTGCAGCCATGACACGGTGTACAAAGCTAATGCGGACTGCCCCAGGTGGTAGGAGGGAGGGTTTGCCCACTGTGGCTTAACCTCTGACTCTCTGGTGGCGACCATCTTTTTTATGTAATTTGTTGTTCAATAAGGGATGCCGTGCGTGCCCAGTCCCTGGCTAGTGTCGCTCCCCACCAATAGGTTGCAGCCCTGCTTTTTTCATTTGACAAAAAGGAAATCCCATTTAAAAAAAAAAAACAATATTATCAATAAAAAATGGATCGGGTTGAAGCAACAGTTCAGCAACGATGTGAATGGAGTGGAATGAACATGCAGCCAATAAGCACAGAGGGAAAATAGCAGATCGGCCTTGCCGAAACACGTCTGGGCCAATGCTGTTTGTCGCAGCTGTTGGTTCTTCTTACGAAATAAGGGTTTGGTTTTGTGTTTGCTTAATGCCCCACAAAACAAGGGGGTGTTTGTGACAGACTGTTTCGTTGGGCATTCATCGACTCATCAGGGGCTTGTGTGTGTGTGTGTGTGTGTGTGTGTGTGTGTGTGTGTGTGTGTGTGTGTGTGTGTGTGCGTGCATGTGTGTGCATGTGTGTGTCCGTGCATGCATGGGCGGGTGGGTGGGTATGTCTATCTGTGTTTGTGTTGTTTTGTGTTGCGGCAGGCAGGATCATTTCCATGAGTTTGCAACACTGACACAGATCTGTGTGTGTGTGTGTGATAGATAGATAGATAGATAGATAGATAGATAGATAGAGATAGATAGATAGATAGATAGATAGAGAGAGAGAGAGAGAGAGAGAGAGAGAGAGAGNAGAGAGAGAGAGAGAGAGAGAGAGAGAGAGAGAGAGAGAGAGAGAGAGAGAGGGGGGGGGGGGGGGGGGGGGGGGGGGGGAGGGGAGGAGTGGACAGGTCTTGGTTTCGTAATCATGGACAAAGTAACACAAGCTGTTGGTGAGCTTAAGGAGTTGGTCCCATGGCTGCTCAAGGACCCAGCAGGGCTGGGAATACTGGTGGCAGTTGGCGTCATTGCTGTATCAGCGATAGTATTTCTTTACTTTTCCTCCGCTTCCTCTGCCTCTAGCAAGTCTAGGTCCTTACAAGGTACGTACAGAAATGGAAGTGGTCACACAATTGCGTGCTTGCGTGGATGCATTATCTTTTTTGCTTGGTTGCCCCTCTTCTTAACTCTCCTTCTTTTGTTCCTCTTCTGGCTATTGATGTGGCTATTGATGTGGCTATTGATGTGGCTATTGATGTGGCTATTGATTTGTAGGCCCTGGCTGGCTGTGTGTGTGGCTAGTTCAGCTTGAATGTCCATCTGTGTGGCTATCTTTTGGCTATTCATTTGTAGGCCCTGGCTGGCTGTGTGTGTGGCTATTTTGGACCTGACTGTCCACCTGTGTGGCTATTTTGTATTTGATTCTCGACGTGTGTGGCTATTTATTTCGTACTTGACTGTCTATTCCATCTCCTGGCTACTGGTGTGGCTATTTATTTGGTACATGACTGTCTATTCCATCTTCTGGCTACTGGTGTGGCTATTTATTTGTAGGTCCTGTGCAGCTTTGTGTGTGACTATTTTGTACTTGTCTGTCTGTCTGTGTCGGCTATGTTGTAAATTTGTACCTGATTCAAGTCAATTGTCTATATGTGTGGCTATTTCATACTTGACTGTCTATCCATCTGTGTGGCTATTTCGTACTTGGCTGGCTATCTGTGCGGATATTTTGTACCCGGCTGGCTATCTGTGTGGCTGTTTTGTACTTGTCTGTCTATTTATGTGACTATTTTAGTATTTCACTATTTGTGCTTGATTATTTGCATGGCTATTTTGTACCTGACTGGCTATCTGTGTGGCTATTTCGTACCTGGCTGTCTATTGGTGTTGCTATTCTGTGCTTGACTGTCTATCTGTGTGGCTATTTTGTACTGGACTGACTATCTATGTGTCTATCTGTGTTCCTATTCTGTACTTGACTGTCTATCTGTGTGGCTATTTTGTACTGGACTGACTATCTATGTGTCTACCTGTGTTGCTATTCTGTACTCGACTGTCTATCTGTGTGGCTATTTCGTACTGGACTGACTGTCTATGTGTCTACCTGTGTTGCACAAGTGCCTGTTCAGACCAGGGGTTTCCGTCTTCACCCGAATAGAATGCCCGGTCATTATTGCTGTATGTAGACTGAAAGGTGCCCCGAATACAGCTGTTATGGCTGGATGTTCTATTTGGTTGACGACGGTAGACCTGATTCCCACGTTTCGCCGTTTGCAGGCCATTGGAGAACTTTGTGCCTCGCCGCCTCGCCACACTACTCACACACAAAGAAAAATTGTGAGTGCAACCTTGCACAGACGATGGCAAGGTACATCCGTTGCTATGAATGTTGACGGAAGTATCTCGCTGCCTTCTGTGGGAAGATGCACTTGTTCCAGAGATGAGCATTTTTTTTTTGAAATGCCACTTCACCCAACCCACCCAAGATTTTCTTAGCACATCCCACCCTTAAAAAAAAAAAGAAAGGTTCGAAGCTGATCCAACCCACCCAAGCATTTTTTCCAATTTTTTCGCCCACGCCCAACCCGCCCGCCACCCGTAAAAAAGGTTCACCCAGACCCACCCGCACCCGCAAGAAAACCATTGGCCGCCCGCATTCAATACTTCGTCATAACTTCCACTGACACTCTTGAGCATACGCAATAACGAATTCCATCTTGTCGCGTTCTCCTGCTTGAGCGTGTTTTTCAACGCCCTTTGCAGGTTCGACTGCTTGACGTGTCGAACGAGTTCCTTGCAATTATCAATGAGCTCAAATACCTCTGGTGCGGCGTCCTCGAATTTGTAAAATGGTGCTGACTTGATTCCGTTTGTCGTGGTTGTGGTTTTGTTGAGGACAGTGGTCAAAACCGTCGCAATCTTGTGATCGCTGCACGGCAACCATTTGAAATTACTCCGAATACCCTCACCACCACACATGTTCGATCCACTATCTGAACACACTACACACCGTTCATTTTCATCACACCCGAATTCCTGAAGACACTCCTTGAACGCTTTCAGGACACAGACAGCGGTATGTGATTCGTCGTGCAATGGCCACACTTGAAGTGTTCGTACGTGCAGTTTGAAAGCGTCGTCGATGTAGTGGATCGTGATGGACATGAAAGATGTTCTCTTAATCGAGTCGATCCACAGGTCAACTGTGAACCCTGCATGCATTTTTTCGGCAAAGTGTTCTTTCAACTTTGCTTTGACAACATCGCGGAGTGATTCTGCATTGCCCATCACCTGACGCTTGACTGTGAAGCGTGAGGGAATCAAATCATCTACCTTCATGCCCCTACCGACACTGATCTCTATGCCAAGAAGAACTTGCGAGTACCGACGGAACCCTGCGTCCTCTACGATGGAAAATGGTCTCAGATCCTCACAACACATCATCGCGGCTGCCCTTGCAACTTGTCTCTTTTGTGACGTGGTCGGTTGGACCGTTGTCGCAAATAGACGCATTGCGCCGGCATCGGCTGCCACTAGCCGACATCTGTGGCCATTCAGTGAGCTTGTACCAGGACGCATTTCGTACGCATAAACAGCGTGACACTTCGTACAAGCCACATAACCTGTGTCAAACTCCTTCACAGGCATTCCGTCCGTGTGGCAGACATGGGCAAATCTCTGCCAACATTGGGCAGAGCTGGCTTTCTCTTCTTTGAGCACGAACTGTGCCCCAGGCCCGCCTTTCTGCAGAGCGCGGTGAATCGCATTTTTCAGTTTCGTCATGTCCGGTTTGGACGATGCAGATGAAGAGCCAACGCCGACATCCACCATTTTGCCGTCCAATGCGTTCATCGTACGATCACTTGAACGGCCACAGATGGGTGGGTAATACTGGGTATTTCCTGCATCCATCAACAGCCACCAAAACACAAAACACTGACGAATGGTCAAGGGCGAGGTCATCACCCAGCCAATCTGTGTCAGTGTCCATGCGTCTGGCCTCCCGGAAATCACGGTAGAGTGTTGATGGGCCCAGCTCAGTTCGTGCACCCCTGAACTGTTGAAATACAGACTCAAGTCTGAATCCAGATACCCCTGAACTGTTGAAATACAGACTAAAGTCTGAATCCAGATGCCCCCCGTAATAGAGCATAAAATCATTCTGAATTGCCCGGGGCCGATCAGTTCAATGATGATATCTCAAGGCCGTCGCCCTTGCCAGTGGGACCGTGCTCAGGGAAGAAGGTCCCACCAAAACAAAAAAAAAAAAAACCAAAAAAATACAGACTTATCGTTTGCCTCAAGACCGCATCAACAATTGTTACCACTGATGGGGCCAGCTCAGTTCGTGCACCCCTGAACCGTTGAAATACAGACTCGAGTCTGAATCCAGATACCCCTGAACTGTTGAAATACAGACTCAAGTCTGAATCCAGATGCCCCCCGTGATAGAGAATAAAATCATTCTAAATTGCCCGGGGCCGATCAGTTCAATGATGATATCTCAAGGCCGTCGCCCTTGCCAGTGGGATCGTGCTCGGGGAAGAAGGTCCCGCCACCCAAAAAAAAAAAACAAAAAAAAAAAAAACAAAAAAAAAAACAGACTTTTTATTTGCATCAAGACCACATCAACATTCGTTACCACTGATGGGGCCAGCTCAGTTCGTGCACCCCTGAAC